GAAAATCCATTTTAGCTCTTAAAAATTATTTTTAAGCTTTAAAATTCAGTATATTTATTTTTAAAAATCAGGAAAAATATCCTAATTGTTCCTAAGTGCTTAGGAGGCAATTTAGAACATTTCTATGAATTTTATTATTTTTGTGATTTTTATGGATTTTAAATTATTTAAATATTTAAAATAGGCTAAAAATTAAGTTTTTGTTTTAAATATCATTTTATTTTTACAAAATACCCCTGATCACATAGAACTCAAAAAACTAAGTTTTATAATTTTTTAAGTTATATTTTAATTATTAAATTTAAAGAAAGAAACATAATTTTATTTGTCCTCACTTAGCTATATTTTCAAAATTTTTAAATTTAACATGACATTTGGTATTAGAGATTAACTTTAGATAACTATATTTATGTTTCTAAATATATAGTAAACTTAAGTAAAAATTTTCAATAATAAAGGTTAATTTTAGAGATTAAGATATTTGGTATAAAAGAAAAAGACTATGTTTTTCTATTTTAAGTAAGAAAAATTGTATTTTTGAAATATTAAAAATCTTAAAGGTTCATGTAAGAAGAAAAGAATTAAACTTTATGAAATCTTTAAGCTAATATAAATTTGTTAACTGAAGAAATAAGACAATTTTTTGACTTTAAGAAGAGGATAGTGAAGTTCAAAATTATTAAAGGTTATCCAGATATAGTAATCCTCACATATAGAAAAGAAAAGAAAAGAAAAAGAAAAGAAAAGATGTGGGGAGAAGCTTAAAGAGATGTCTAATTAAAAATTAGTTTCACTTGAATCAATTTAAAAAAGAGAGCTTGCTACATTTTCTAAATTTTTATTTGAGTATTAGTTTATTTACTAGTAAAGTTTTATGAAGTTCTTTTTCATATGAATACTTTAAGTGACTTTAATATGACAATTTACATTTTTTCTTGAAAAGAATAGAGAATCAGAAATCTTAGACTTGATTACTAAATATTTTTATACCTTTAGTATTAATTGGAGTAGTTTTGAATTTTTCTTAAGTTATGTTATTACATTTAGTGGACTAAGATATGAAAATCTAGAAGTTAAATTCTTTACCATAAGTCATATTTTTACATAATATAGGAGTTACTTGAGAACAAGTAACATGTAAGTTTGGGGGATTTTGATACACCAAAAAAATTATGCATTTTTAGACCCATATTTTATACTCATTTTTGGTGATATTACACTTTAATGAAAGGTATTTGTATGTTTTCTTGCAGGATGTTGAATTTTAGGACTTAAAGCAAGAAGGAAGCAAAAATGAAGTAAAAACGATGAAATTTGGAGCAAAAGTGGAGAAGTTGAAATATGTTCAGCGCCGTCGGAGCATTTAATTTAATTACGGGACACTAGCGCCGACGACACCAGAATGGGCTTCGACGGTGCCAATGTAAGTTTAGCCCTGATTTCTAGAAGATTCGATAAATCTGGACGCATTTTGAAGAGTTTTTGGAGGCACCTATTCGAGAACCGACTCTAACCTTTATTTGGGGCCGAAATTGATCAAAAAAGTGACTCTTCCTGCCATTCCATCGCCTCAATTCAACTTTCCACACAACACATTCCTCCATTTTTCATTCCACAACCATTTAGAGTCCATTGTTCTTATAATTTAGAGTTTTGTGGTGAGATTAAGTGTGAACTCTTCTTTAAGAGTGTTGGAGAAGGAGAAAAGTGAGAGATTTCTTCTTTCTTCATTTCCTAGAAGAGGCTACAAGGGATTTGCTTTGAGAAAGAGTTTCAGATAAGTGTTGTTTGTTTATTAGTGTATGAACTTTCTTTCATATATGAAATTTGTGTTTTGTTGTATCTTTTTCATGAAGTCTGAGTAGTTACTTTATCTTTCTCCCTACTCTGAGATATGGTGAAATGAAGAGATAATATAGATGTGCCAATATTAAAATATAAAATAAATTGTGATGTTTTTTTTAACTCTGAACTTAATTTACTTTTCGATCTGGCCAATTGAATTGTTAAAATGTGTTGTGAAACATATGATCCGGGAAATGAAGTATGAGTTCTACAACAGGGTGAGGATCACATTTGATTCCATGAAGGAGAACTTTGTTCATGGAATTAAGTGCAAATAAATAGGAAAATATACTTTGTTGGGTGTAGAATTAGAGAATTATTAGGGCGAAGAGACTAAAAATCCTCAATTTGATCTTAGTGTTTAAAAACTAAAGCGAGAGTTAGCCTTTAGGGATTGGGAGCTCTGGAGGGGGAGCCGGTATCCTCCTAGCCTAGCCACAAATTTAGGGACTAAAGCTAGGATTAGCCAATGATTTTCTATGCACAGTATTAGGGTAGAGAATTATAATTGCTCCTATTTGGCATAATACATAATATAAGCATTTATCTCATTTCATTTCACCAGAACCTCATTACAGTGGGAATGATGCTTTTTCACATAAGAAATATTCATCACATAAACATAGTTTAATAGTTTAGTAGTTACTGTTTAAACTTTATATTTTAATTTTGTTATTTAAATAATTTAGTTCTGATAATATCTCAACATTCGAAATTAGTGACAGTAATTTCGTATTGACTTTCTGTGAATTTCCTAGTAAATTTTTTGATCAATTTCGGATGGCAGGAAGAGTCACTTTTTTGATCAATTTCGGCCCCAAATAAAGGTTAGAGTCGGTGCTCCAATAGGTGCATCCAAAAACTCTTCAAAAAGTGTCCAAATTTGTCAAATCTTCTAGAAACAGGGCATGCACTAGCGCTGTTGGCGCCAGAGGCCATCTAATTAAATCTGTCTTCTCTGTCAAACGACACCGTCGGCGCCCAGTCTGGCGCTGAACAATTTTTCAATAATTTCATTTTGACTCCAAATTTCATCATTTTTGCTTCATTTTTTATTTCCTTTGTGCTCCAAGTCCTAAAAATTAACAATCTGCAATAAAACATAATAAATACCTTCCATTAACGTGCAATATCACCAAAAAAGAGTATAAAATATGGGTCTAAAAATGCATATATTTTTGGTGTATCACCTCGGTAGGCTTCAATTTCAAAGGTGGTTACGGTTGAGCCTATTGCTAACGTAGTGGCTCAAGAGCCAACAAGGGCGCATCTGCAATGTGCATTACTGATTGAATCCTCACTTCTAAGAGTGGCAAAGAGTCAAAATATTATGCAACCTCCTCTACCCTCTGCTTCTTGTGCACCACTTGCTTCATCAAACTGGACCCCTAAGGCTTGGTCCCTTCAGCCAGCTCTTTGGAGTTAGTGGTCTACTTCTCATTTCTCGTCCTCCTCTCAGTCGGTCGACCTTCATATATAGTTTTTTTTCTTCGGATCAGGACGAGAACCCCCCAGCTTGCTCTCTTTCTCACCTCTGGAAGGGCTACTCTTATAAATAGTAAGCCCAAAGGCCCTCATCAGTGCTTCCTCGTTCATAGGTTTTTTAGAGCTCGACTCTCTCATACGCTGCTATAATCAACTAAAGGGCAGGATGATTCCAGAATTGAAGAAGGAATGAGCTGATCACACCCTATTTATAAGGAAAAGCAACAAAAAAAGTCTATGGAGTATAATTATTGGTAGCACCTATTACTCATTAAATAAACAATTATTTCATTTAATTCTCTTATTCTTATAGTAGTTATCACTTTCAAAGAAGTAAGAGAATCGATGAAGTAAATATTTACATTGAAATATGACTACACGAACCTCAAGGAGATTCAATGCATCGCGTGAAGAGGGCATCAAATTGAGCCATCTAACGACATTTTGGTCTAACAAAGCATAGGCTTACCGAATGAATATCTATCCGAACCAAAGAGCGGAACACCTAGACCGACATGAACTTAATCAACACAAGAGCATTCACAAGGTCAACAGTCTTTTAGTGAAACTCTCACCTAACCTTCAATGAAGATTCATAGCTCAAAGTAAGGTGGCCTGTCAGATTACAGACATGTCCTTTGCTTGATAATATAACCCTTCTTGAGGACAATGTGTCTTCACAACGAACCCTCTCAGAAAAATCAAATGAATATTTGTCAGTCAGTCGAACAATTATTGACGATATATTGAAAACCATCATGAATATGAAACACTGTTAGAGATATTTATAAATATGAAACGGTGCCAAAGGTAGTTACTATGCTAAAAAAAATCAAAGTCGGTTACAAATATGTAAATGTGTAATGTCTTATAAATGTACGTAATGTTTCCATTAAATGAATGATATCTATGTAATTTCCTAGACCCTTCCTATGATCTATAATTAGGAGGATCACTTCCACAATAAAGACTACTGAAACTAATCTAGGAAAATTGATTTTTATTTGTGTTCATTTTCACTTACTCTTTTTCTTTCCTTTCTACTTTCCTCTCATTCAACCAATGATTATCTTTTGGGCGTGAGCTAAACATCATTTTTGGGTTACTTTTAAGTGTAATATTTAAGCGTAAAAATATTTAGATGACCTTGTAACAAAATTGACGCTCTAAGAAATGTCTGTTATGGTAAGAACACAATCAGGTAACTACAGCTGTCAACATAATAACCGCGATGTCAAATATCTTGTTTCCGAGAGTTTACAGCATACCGACCGTCCCAATCCCAAAAAATTATTACATACATTCATCGTACACTGAAATACGTATGGTGAGCTAATAAAAACGCTATCCTCTAAAAATTATATATCAATGGCCCTCAATTTAATTTCACATTCATCGTACACTGAAATACGTATGGTGAGCTAGTACGGTGAGCTAATAAAAACGCCATCCTCTAAAAATTATATGTCAATGGCCCTCAATTTAATTTCTTTTTCTTTTTATTTATTTATTTTTTCTTTTCTGATTGGACACCTGGAGTTCGCGCACAGAATAAACGCTCCCCAATCGCGGCGTTATCCTTCGACGAACATTCGCCGTTAAGCAAGGCCACTATCGAATCCGCCGTAGCACCCTCCTTTCTCTACTCTCCATCACGAGTCCCAGAGTAGGTCCCAATCGACGGTCCCAAGCCATAGCTGTTACTCTTCCACTCACCGATGTATCCCCAATTTCCGTGAAAAAGATAAGCAGTGAATCTTTGTTTCCGAAACTTTACTCTCGCCTAGGAGAGACGGAGAGAGGGAGATAGAAGACTGTCGGTGAGATCTGAGTTCTGTGTTAAGGAAATGGGAGAATCGATGGTCTGGGAAGTGGAATGGGCAGCGTGAGGAGCGGTGGGGAGAGTATTGGAGCAGAGATATGGGGCCGGGGATCGCGCCTTCCAGAAGCTGGGTTGAAGCGTATAGTGGGATGTCGGCAGATAATGTAAAGGGGCTGGTGCTTGCACTTTCCTCAAGTTTCTTCATTGGCTCAAGCTTTATTGTTAAGAAAAAGGGGCTGAAGAAGGCTGGGGCATCTGGAATTCGGGCAGGTATGATAGTCTCTTGTATGATCTTATGTTCATTTGATCTGAAGTGTGCGTTTTAGGAACTTCTCTTATTTGGATCGGAGATTAGTGTTATTTTTTGAAGCCATCGATTTTAGAATTGTGGGTTTTGATTGATTTGGTGTTTTGATGTGGTTTCCTTTTGGTTTTTTTTGTTGCTTTGCCATTTTGATAGATGAGGCAGGGATGAGTTTGTGATGCGAGGGAATTATGGCTCTTTCACGGAGATGGAAGATGAATGAACTAAAGCTCTGAGCATGAGGCGGGATTACAGCGCACGTTACTCTTGCTGGTGGCTGCCTTATGTTTAATGAAGTTGAATTTCATTCGTTTTATATTTTTTCTTCGAGATATGTAGCATGGATTAGAAGTTTGATGGCGTCAGTCTTCTATTATGGCGTAATGGCGAAGTATTGCTGTGTGACAGAGAGGCCTTTATGAACCAATAGAATTTAATGATGTTCTTCTTAGAGATTCTTAACATACACATACTACAGTAGAAAGAAGAACTTTTTAAATTGAAAAAAAACTCTTGTAAAAACCATGGGGTCTTTATCAAGAATGGGAAATTTTTTAAGGGCTCTTTCCATCTTAGAGAGAAGCATCTTCATTGAGCTAGAAAATGAGTCATATTTGTAAATTTCTTACAGGGTATTTTGAATCTCACTAAAAAGATGATTTGCAATTATCATCAATGAATTACAAAGATTGCATTATTCCATGGCCATATTATGATATCGGAAGATATTGCTTTTAGGCTAACTCAACAATTCCCCTGGACTAGTCTTGTATTGTCGGATGCCATTTAGCTGTCTTGGATCAATGATGTAAATATGCCAATTTGTTGTTAATGATGTCACGATCACATCAATATACATTGATTGCCTTTTAAACAATTGAATTAGCTTGAATAATTTCGAGAGGGTTGTTTTATCTTGAATGGACCTTGTTGCATCTGCCAAAAATGTTCCTCTATTTTGAGATGGTTTCCAGAGTTCCTTGCATCGAAGAAAAAACATGCCAAATGATCTAGAAAATATTTCTTATATACAAATTTCAGGAGGGATATTTTGATCCTAATTCAAATAATTTTGTGAAGTTATTATTAATGAAAAACAAAGATTGCACCATTTCATGATCAAATAATGATGATGAGATATTGCTTATAGGCTGACTCAACAACCAGTCGAGACGGATCTTCCATCGCTAATTGCCACTAAGGTATATTGGATCAATAATGTAAGCACACCGAGTTGTTAATGATATCACTATTACATCGGAGTTGATGGCTTGCAATAGTGGAGTATCAATAATGCAATAAATTGTTAAGTCTTGATTATCGAAAAGGGTTTATACTTATGAGCCCATCTTAGCATGGTAATTTGGCTCTTAAGTGCCAGCCATAAGGTTTATGTATTTGTGGCTTAGCATATATAGTCGTGTTTTGAGTTTGTGATTAAGTTTGCTCAATGCCTCAAAAAAATAGTTTACATGTTAAATGTCCTCAGATTGATGAATTGGGTTGGTTCCAAACTTTTCAAATATAATTCAAGCTATCTATGTGTCCACAAATTCTTTGCAGCATAAAAAGAAAATTTCATTGCAGCTCTAGATCTTTTCTACTGGATGGTGTGCTTTTTTGAGCTAATATTATCTTCTCGATCCAACCAAATTGTGTGAAATTGAGCATTTGTTTTTTTTTTCTTTTTCGTCTTTTTTTTTTCCGAATTGCTTGTTTTTCTTTTTTTTGGTAAAAAATTGATGCTTAATCAAACTGGGAGTTTCATGATTCAACAACTATGGTAATGCTTGCTTCTACATAAGCCATATAATCTTGGTTAAATTTATTATTGTGGAATTATAGTTGTAGCCCCATTTCCTGTAAAAATTGTGTTTAATTAGCTTGAAATCTTTGCTGGCTTTGGCTATTCAAGTTCTGAAGATATTATTGACAGCTATCGATCTCCGCTTGACTTGTTCATCTTTGGTTGCCAGAACATTTATGTGATATTTTATTGGATATTTTCATAATTAACATATTTTAGTTGTTATTGCTGAACGACTTGGCTATAAAAGTTCAGCCCCTCTAATCAAGTTGTCCAAACCACCACAGTGCTAGTTCTATGCCTATAGTAGACATTAGCGTGCTTGATATTAAAAGGAAATACTTTGATATCAGCTCTGTTTTGGGTATGCTTATTCAAAGGATATTTTTCATGAATTACTACTCATCCTGATTGATGGTTAACCCAATATAATGACATTGTTAAGGTTGAATTTTGAAGGCTGCATGTTAAACTAACATGTGAGACGAAGTGCCTATGGGTTTATTGACCACGGATGGTCTTATGACAGAAGCTGGATTACTTGGTGGAAAAAGAAAATCATTTTCTTTTTATAAATAATTTTCATCTTTCTTAGTAATTTATGGCCTTATTTTCAACTTTTTACCTATTTTACATGACTGATGCACATTAATCAGTAACTTATATGTAGACTAATAATTTTTTTTAACTGTTGAGCACATTGATTTGAATGTTGACAGTTACGTGTGAAGAGCCTTGTATTGTAATTATTATAAATGGCTAGCACAGAAAATTTAGTCTGATTGTTATGCGTTGAGAAACTCAAGTAAAATGAATTCATATGTTTAATGATGTCTTTTAAGACGGTAAATGGTGTTAATGTGCACGCGTAATTTTAACGAGCACTATGGAATATAGTGACACACAGTTATTGTTTAATCTTCATAATACAACTTTCATAGTTGGTTGTGCTTGTTCTTTTAAGGCACGAAAAAATGAGAAATTTCCATTAAAGAGGCAAATCAATTCCATCGTTGGAATCAGGATCACAATTAATTGATTAAAAATTGCAGAGATTTGGTTTGATAATCAGTGAAATCTTCCTACACCATACACCTAGTTAAACTAATGATTTATTTTAGGGTCTTTTTACACATTGTTATTATTGAATGGTGCTCAAGTGTATTTCCTTTGTACTACAAAATTTGCCAGCAGATTGATTTGAATGTTGACAGTTACGTGTGAAGAGCCTTGAATTGTAATTATTATAAATGGCTAGCACAGGAAATTTAATCTGATTGTTATGTGTTGAGAAACTCAAGTAAAATGAATTCATATGTTTAATGATGTCTTTTAAGACGGTAAATGGTGTTAATGTGCACGCGTAATTTTAATGAGCACTATGGAATATAGTGACACACAATTATGGTTTAATCTTCATAATACAAGACGGTAAATGATGTTAATGTGCACGCGTAATTTTAATGAGCATTATGGAATATAGTGACACACAGTTATGGTTTAATCTTCATAATACAACTTTCATAGTTGGTTGTGCTTGTTCTTCTAAGGCATGAAAAAATGAGAAATTTCCATCAAAGAGGCAAATCAATTCCATCGTTGGAATCAGGATCACAATTAATTGATTACAAATTGCAGAGATTTGGTTTGATAATCAATGAAATCTTCCTACACCATGCACCTAGTTAAACTAATGATTTATTTTAGGGTCTTTTTTACACATTGTTATTATTGAATGGTGCTCAAGTTTATTTCCTTTGTACTTCAAAATTTGCCAAATGCCATGTCTCTAGATTATTTGATTCTTTTCTCTTTAACTTTGAGTACATGTCGGTATGTAAATGAGATTGTTTTGCTTTATTGTAGGTGTTGGAGGCTATTCCTATTTATTTGAACCACTTTGGTGGGTAGGAATGATTACAAGTAAGACTTCAGGTTTTTTATTTTTTTATTTTTTATTTGTTTTTTTCTTTTTTTTTAAGGACATTATTTCATATTTTCCATTTCAATTTCTGAAATGGAGAGAGATGCTAACTACTACATCAAGGATCATACAAAGTCAGCTCACTGTGTTTGAATAATCTGACACACACACACACACACACAACTTTGTGTGGGTGTGGGTGTGTGTGCTTATCAAAACAACCACACATGTCAAAGGTCATGAAAAAAATTTTTGCCAAAATATTTTTTAACTTTTAATTAACTTTGCCATATTTAGTAAAACTTAGCAGTCCATAATGAACATCAATTTTTTGAAACAGGGCAGAACTTTCTAATAGACTATCTGGTAATAAAAAATCTACCACATTTTTCTACCAATCATATACTTTAGTCAATATGGCACAAGGTTGAGTCCAAGAATCAATTGGCTGCTGCATGAGTTTTAATGGAAAAGTTACAGCCCAAAATTGCATGTGGATGTCTTCAGTATTTGATATTTTAGAATAGATCTGTCAATATCCATTGCCCTGCATCACAAAATTGTATATGGATGTCTCAGGTATTTGATATATTAGATTAGATCTGTCCATTGCCTTGTGAAATTTTGTAGTACATGATATCTTCAATGCATTTTTGAGGCATAGAATCATGAGTTATTGAGGAAAACTACTGGATGTGTTGCAACATAGAAGTGTAATTTAGTCCGCAGAATTTTTTAATGAGAGCTAAAATAGTCATCTTGAAGACTATTTCAACCCATATTAGAAGAGTTTGGGCACTAATTTTGACACTTTTAAAGTCTCCGAGACTAAAATGACCCCATACAAATAGTCAGGGGACTATTTTGCCACTTTACTCTTTTACAATTAGAAACCATGTAGTTTTTAGAGTTTTGCTGTAACAACTCTGCTTATTTGGGTGCATTTGTAAGCTAACACCTTTTTGTGATAATGAAACAGTGATCGTTGGAGAAATAGCAAATTTTGCTGCTTATGCGTTTGCTCCAGCTATTTTGGTTACTCCTCTTGGTGCACTTAGCATTATAATCAGGCATGGATAGTCACACAGCAAACTAAAAATTCAAAAAATATATTTGTAATTATTTCATGAGTGGTTTGCTCTTGCAGTGCTGTGCTAGCTCACATTATTTTGCGGGAGAAGCTACACGTATTTGGTATTCTTGGTTGTATACTTTGTGTCGTGGGGTCAACTACAATTGTACTTCATGCACCACAGGAGCGCATGATTGAATCTGTGAAACAAGTATGGGATTTAGCTACTGAGCCAGGTTGGTAAACTACAACATTGTTTTGTTTGAATACTCAACTAATCTAAATTATAAAATTACATTTGTTTCTGTAAGTAAACATTGTAATTCTTTTTAATGAGTTAGAGTGAAATAGGTTTTTCTAACATGGCTATATATTCTGCAGCTTTTCTAGTCTACGCAGTTATAGTCATTGCTGCAGTATTTGTACTTATATTTTATTTCGCGCCTCAGTATGGGCAAACACATATAATGGTGAACATTGGTGTTTGTTCTCTTGTAGGTTCGTTGTCGGTACGTAATTGTTATACAATTTACGAAATACAGGTTCTTAGCATTTATCATAATGCTTTTAAAAATTGACATTTTTTCCATCATCATCAACAGGTAATGAGCGTTAAAGCTCTTGGAATTGCCTTAAAGTTGACATTTTCTGGGATTAATCAGTTAGTATATCCCCAAACTTGGACCTTTTCGATAGTTGTCGGCATATGTGTGCTTACTCAGATGAACTATTTAAATAAGGTAATTTTTTGTATTTTCCTTTTGAGTTTGTATCAGTGTTGCAATCTGTGCCTATCATTGTTATAGGTTGTTTGCCTATATAGCCTTTTCTCTCAGTTGCGGACTGCTTTTGTATGAAATGAACAACCTTAAAAATATTGACTTGTTAAATTAAAATTTGATTTTGCTATGTATCTGTACGCTTTCATTTTCAATAAGGTGCTAATTTTGAAAATAGTATATGATATTTTAATGATACATTTTTTGCACAACTACAAAGAATAATAACGTCTCCCTGAATAATCAATGCATAAAATGAGGCCACAATACTTGCTTTATGATAGCTGGCATGATGAGATTTGATAATGCTAGAAAAGGATGTGTTAAATTTATAATCTTTAAGGAGTCTCTAATTTTGAAAAATAATAAAACATGATTTTTTTTTTGCATAACTAAAATAATTCCAGATGTATGAGGCCACATTAGCTGACTTTATGGTTGCAGGTAGACCAAATTTAAATTTATCTATTCATGCTATAATGAAGGTAATTGAACATAGGTTAAGACGTATTACAAAGATTTCTCATAATCAATTTGGATTTATGCCAGGCAGATCTACTATAGAAACTATACGAGGTTTGATGGAGAAGTTTAGAGATAATAAGGAGAATCTACATTTGATTTTTATTGATCTAGAAAAATCTTATGATGAGGTTCCAAGAGATATCCTTTGAAGAGTTTTTGAGAAGAAAGGTGTTGATATGACTTATATTCAAGTCATTAAAAATATGTATATTAGAGCTGTTATTTGTGTTTGAACTAAATGAGGATTGACCAAATAATTTTCTATTTCTGTTGGATTACATCAGGGATACATCATTCTGTTGGATTACATCAGGGATTGGCTTTAAGTCCATATCTTTTTGCTTTAGTTATGGATGGTCTTACTAGACATTTACAAGAGGATGTACTTTGGTGTATGTTTTTTATTTATGATATCCTTCTCGTGGATAAGACGAGAAAAAGCTCAGGAAAAACTTGAATTATGGAGGTCTACATTGGAGTTTAAAGGCCTTCATTTAGGTAGAATAAAAATTGAATACATGGAATGTAATTTTAGTAGTAGTAGCTCTAGTGACAGAAGTGTAACTTTGGGTGATCAAATTATTAAAATGTGTGAACGATTTAGATATCTCGGGTCTGTTGTTCAAAGCAATGGTGATATAGATGGGGATGTTAATAGTAGAATTCAAGTTGGCTGGTTGAAGTGGTGGAATGTTTCGGGCCTTTTGTGTGATAGAAAGTACCGCTTAGATTGAAAGGAAAATTTTATAAGACGGTGGTGAGACCTGCAATGCTGTATGGCGCTGAATGTTGGCCTTTAAAAGTGAAGCATAATACTAAGTTAAGTGTTGTTGAGATGAGAATGATTAGGTGGATGAGTGGCTTTACACGTAGAGACAAAATGTGAAATGATTATATCCGTGATAGGGTTGGTGTAGCCCCTGTGACGGACAAAATTAGAGAAAGTCATCTTAAATGGTTTGGTCACATTAAGTGTCGACCATCTTAGGATCCGATTAGGAGAGTAGATGTTTTATATTCAACTTATGTTAAGAAAGGCAGAGGTAGACCTAGGAAGACTTTGATTATTGTATAAAAAATGATCTTAATTTATTAGAACTAAATGAAAATATGACACTAAATAGAACGCAATGGACAAAAAGGATTCATGTAGCCGACCCCACGTAAGTGGGATTAAGGTTTCGTTGTTGTTGTTGTTGTTGTATGCTATAAATGAAGGTGTTAAACTTTTGATATGCATTACTTTTTAGATTCGAATTAAGGACTTTTTTATCCAAGTAAAAGACCCGAAATATGATAAATATTTCTCAGCTCAAAGCTTTATATTTGGATACAAGATCATATACTTGAGTAAGAATCTTTATATATGATAAAATCTAATATTTGGACAAGTGTTTTCTTGGATGCTGAACTCTTATATATGGATCTAAAATCTTGTATCCGAATAAAATATTTGTTTTTTGATTAAGAAATCTTCTATCTGGATCAAAGCTATTGTATCTGAAAAGAGGTGAGACAGTTTCTTCATCACGTTTTTTTATAATATTAATTAATGACAAGCTGAAGCCCCATTTCAAGTGGAATCATTTGTGAACCGTAGCATTACTCAACGCATAATGATTATATGGCCTGGAAATGTTTTAGTAAAAACTGTATGGTTCATAATAACTAAATCCACATTAAAATATCAAAAGTAAGATGTCAACAATTGAATAGCAAATCTTTTATTATTTTCCTTATATTACAAAAATAGTACGTAGGTTGAGTATGTAAATTTTATTATGTAAGTTTTAGCCATTGATTTGAGCTTTTAAACCATTTTCGTAAGCTTTGACAAATGGGCTCCCAGCTGGAATTATTCATGCTGTGCCATGCCTCTGTGCTCATTAGTCTATATTAATTGAATGATTATGTTATATTCCTGGCAGTACAGTTTAGTTTTGTCTTATGTCAATCATTTTCACTTGGTATAGTGGACATCTCTTGTTGGCTACATTGTATGATGCTAAAGAGAATTTTTTTCTTACAATTGCAAACTAGGATAATTGTTAAACTTTATTTTAATCAGTGATATGTCATAAAAAATACGAAACTTAGTGTATTTGTTCACATATTTAAATACTATCCATTTTTTGCAGGCACTTGATACATTCAATACAGCCGTAGTTTCTCCAATATATTATGTGATGTTCACATCGTTCACTATTCTGGCTAGTGTGATCATGTTCAAGGTACTTGCGAGTTTCTTCCTCTATGATTTTAAAGAAACAAGGAGCATTTACATACATAGCAGACAATTCTTATCTATTTACATATCTCACACCTAAATTTTCATATTTACACGCATAGCACTCAAATCCTTAATCACATAAAAAATAGCATTTTTATCACTTTTTTAAATGTGAAATACACTTTTTCATCCATAGGCTTAACACACCAAAATGCTGTGTATTGAAATATGAAATTTTAGGCGTGATATGTGTAAATACATAAGAATTGTGTGTTATATATGTAAATTTCTCAAGAAACAAATATGTGGTTGAGTGATGGTCTGTTTCTGCCCCTATGTTTGCATGCGAATTTCATCTTAATTGCTTCAAACAATATTTTTGCAACATCACCGTCTTTTGGAGCTTAGTCTGCTTTACTTTTTCAGTTTTTTGTTTAATTGGTTTTTCTTATCGGCATTTAGTTGAGTGCCATGTTTAACAGAAGATAGTTCAAAATTGTGAAGCTATTGAGGGTGGTTTCATGAAGCCAGTGGCTTTTAAAACCATTCTGAAGTAGTTTCTTATGATAGTTTCCTACCACTTGACTCGTTCAAAATATTAAAATTGTTTTTGTAATTTTGTTAATGCTTCTCAAAGCAAAAAGTGTTCTTTTGTATGTTAGATTTCTAAGGAATATGTGATGCAGGTATTCTAGAATATGTGATGCAGGTATTCTAATTTCTCACCATAGATGAGGTTGTAGAGAGTGTTCAGGTGTTTTAAGACCGGAGTCTATAAAAACCGACTAGATAAGAGCTATAGTTTATGAAATGTATGGAGAAATTACAAATGGGTTCTAACATGTACTTCATCGTAGATGCCCAGATAAGCGCATATTGAAAACTGATTTGATACTAGTAGTAATATCACCTCAAATCCTCTCCAGCATTTCTTCTCTCCCCCTCCAGAAAATTTTTTTGTTAAAGGAATAAATAATAAATTTGTATAATTATATTTCTTAAAAATTAGGACTGTTTCTTGTTGAAGCACATTTGTATTATTTTTATGAAAAACATGTTTAAATTATAAAAAAAATTGAAAATTTATAAATCTTCTTTTGAATATATATATATATATATAGTTGTTCAGTAGTTTTTTTTTTTTAATTTCTTTTATTTACGATAGAAAAACCAAAGAGTCGAGTCTTTGCAAATGAGGAAAGTTTTCATATAAGAAATATTAGGAAATTTTCTCTCCAAAAAAGAAGAAAGCAACTGTCACCATTGTTCGAACATTCAGAATACATGGTTTGCATTGTCGTATCTTCCATTTATGTTTGCTTATCCTCAATGAGGATGGCCATGGTTCCATCAAAAGAATTTCTATGGAGGAAGAAGGGGAAGTCAACTGTTGAGGAGCCGACGGTGACAACCTCTTAATCTTGCACAGGTGAAGAAAATGGTGTTGACAAGGAATCAGGGACGGGAAGTAGGGTGAGGGTTCTCGCTATGAAAATTGGAGTTGAAGCTGGCAGTCACAATGAGGAACGTAACCCAGTTCTCTCGAAGACTGATGAGGAATCAAAGAGCTCACATCAAGAAGAAAGCTTGCAATTTTACATTTAGGATGGAATCTTGTGGATGAATCACAGAAGATGTAGCGATATATCCGTTTCTCAAGAGAGAAGATGGGAGTGGTGGTATTCACACAAAATTTTCCAAAGGTGTCATTCGTAAAAATAGTCAAAATAGTCCTCTAACTATTTACAAGTGGTCATTTTAATTCTATAGTTTATAAAAATGTCAGATTAGTTCCTAGATTGTTTTAATATGGGTTGAAATAATTTTCAGAAAGGACTATGTTAGCCTCCATTAAAAGTGGCTGGGGATTAAATTGGCTTCTTTATAGACTTTTGGACTAAATTGGACCATTACAAATAATCAAGAGGTTATTTTAACCTTTTTTTTCTTTTCTAAAACCTTATAAATGTCCTTATACAATATGGGCTTAATGTCCTAAAGTGTAATAATGCTAGACATTTAGAGCCCGTTTGGTTCGACTTTTTTGGCGCGGCGCTGTGTGCGATAGTCGCTTCGTCGCGCAGTCGGCCGTTTGGTTCGTAGCTTTGCGGCAAAACTTTCCCAAATCGGAGCGAAAGGGGGCCGCGAAGGGGGGCCGCGATATTAACCCCGCGGCCCCGCTTTCGCCTGAAGATTTTCTCCGCTTACCCCTTTCGTTTCTCTTCTGCCCTAACTGCTTCCTTCGCGGCTCTCCTTCGTCGTCTTGCTTCATAGCCCCTCGATCGACAGATCTGAGGTATAACGAGCAATTTTCTTCTTCTAATCGCAGATATGAGGGAGCTTATGGGTTTTTTCGAATGTGATGTTTTCTCTTCTTATTTCCTTTCTATTTCGGTAATTTTTTGTTTATTCCTTCTAAAGATGCGGTGGATCTGTACATTAGTGCATGGAACCTGTTTGGTTTTTTACCGGTTGCTTCACTAGGGTTTTGCCTTTGCTTTCCCTTCTCGTTTGAGTCATTCTTGTTTGGTGGATGTTGGCTCAAGAATGAAATAATATAGTGGTTGATTCACTGATGTAGTGGTTGATTCACTGATGTGTAGTGGTTGTTGTTCATGCTTTTTCTTTCCCTTCTCGGTGGATCTGTACATTAGGTAGTGGTTGATTCATCACTGATGTTTTGCTCTGAGACACATTTGTGGAAGTTATGAAAGGGGTTAACATGGATAGTGCATGTTGCAATGATTTTTTTT